GGAAAGAGGAGGAGAGGGGAAGGGGAGGAGAGGGAGGGGGGGGGGGGGGGGGGGGGGGGGGGGGGGGATCCCATCTCAGAGGATTAGCAACTTTCTCTTGAAAAAAAATCCCAAACTGAAGCACAAAAACAGAGATTACTCTGTTGTTAACCAAATGAAAGCAGCTCCTTTCCTGTTGTTTAATGAGCGTAGTCAGAACGTGTTTACACATTTTCCTCCTCAGGTAAGAGACAAAAAAAATGAAAAAGAAAAGAGAAAAGAAAGAAAGAGAGTCGTTTGTGTCTATAGGCTCCAGCCCCTCAACTTTCCTGATTTGATGGCGCGCAGGTTGATGAGGGCGTTTCCTGGTCGCCCGGTGGAGGCTGCGCTGCGCTGCTGCCCGCTGATGTCAGGATCCGCGCTGAGGAGGGGGCGGGCGCTGCCAGCGTGCTGCTCTCCAGTCATCTGAGCATTAAAGAGGTAACCTCTAACTCACACTTAACTCCGCGCTCCTGCATCCTCCTGGAGCTCCCACATTTTTTTCTTCTTCTTCTGATTCTGCTGTTCTCCGTCTGTTTCTTCTTCTTCTTCTTCTTCTTCTTCTTCTTCTTCTTCTTATTCTTATTCTTATTCTTATTCTTATTCTTATTCTTATTCTTATTATTTTTTGGTTCTTGACTCGAAAATGTCCCGTTAATTTTCCGCGCAAAAGTTAATGAGGATTAACCAATCACCCCTGGACGCCGCTGTGTGCATGGAGGTTTTGGGGAAGGCGTTGGGGGGGGAGGATGACACTCTGACAGCAAGGTGCGCATCAAACTGATGGTTCCTGTATCCGCTTCTGCTGCTGGGAACTCAGAGGAGTGACAAAACAGGAACGCTCGGACTTTCCAACAAGTTCTGCTGCGAACAGCAAGAATTTTCTTTTTTTTTCTTTTCCTTTTTTTTTTTTTTTTAATGGCAAGTTCTACCTCTCTGGAGACGGTGATGTCCTGCGGTAGGACCGGGCCCTCCGGGGCTCCGAAGAGCCTGGCCTTCTCTATCGACCGGATCATGTCCAAGAGCTCGGAGCCGAGGAGCGGCGCGGAGGAGCGCTCGGAGGGGAAGAAGTTGCTCGGCCTCTGCTCCCCCATCCCCTGCATGATCCCGCTGCAGCCGTTCAGCTACGACCTGCAGGCCAAGGCGCTGATGAACTACTCGGAGCTCTGGAGAGCCAGCCTCAGGGGAACGTTCTGCGGATCGACGGCCGCGCCGTGCAAAGGGAACTGCGGCGTATGCGCCAGAGCGGACTCCACGTTGAAGCAACCGGTGCCGACCACCGGCAGCAGGGTGGTGAAGCCGCAGGTCATCCACCAAGCCGTGGCCGTGCCCAGCGTGGGCTCACTTTACTACCTGAATTACCTGGACTCTGCGTACCAGCAGTCAGAGCTCCTGGCCGGACACTGGCTTTCGACCCCCCAGGCCCAGGCGTCCCTGTCGGCGCACCACAGACTCTTGCTGCTGGAGAACGCCAAGCTAGCCGGCGCTGGCTCCGAGAAGCTCCCCACTCCCCAGTACCCACACAAGGAGCATCTGCCGGGCCAGCTGGACCAGATAGTGAAGGAGAACCACGCTCTGATTGGCGAGAAGAACGGCGTCAAGACTCACAGCAAGCTCAGCTCCGGCGGCTGCAACGCGGACGGCAAGCACAAAAACTTCACGTGTGAAGTTTGTGGGAAGGTAAACTTTAAGGAACGACAGCTGTCCGCTCCAAGACAAACCAGAGAGATTGTGACTAGAACACACATGTTAACAGGATCGTGTGTGTGTGTGTGTGTGTGTGTGTGTTTTCTCTCGTAGGTTTTTAACGCGCATTATAACCTGACCAGACACATGCCGGTGCACACCGGGGCCCGGCCGTTTGTGTGCAAAGTGTGCGGCAAAGGCTTCCGACAGGCCAGCACGCTCTGCAGGCACAAGATCATCCACACTCAGGTGAGACACACCTGCAGCCGGCCTGGCTCCCTCACACACACACACACACACACACATACAAACACACACACATACACACACACGCACACGCACACACGCACACACACACACACACACACACACAGAGAGAGAGAGAGAGACAAACACACACTCCATTTGCTTTCAACTGCTCCGTAAACCTATTTTCTTCAAATATCTTCCACCTAGGAGAAGCCGCACACATGCAACCAGGGCGGCAAGGCGTTCAACAGGAGCTCCACGCTCAACACGCACGTACGCATCCACGCCGGATACAAGCCGTTTGTGTGCGAGTTCTGCGGGAAAGGTTTCCACCAGAAAGGTGCGTGTTTCATGAAGCCTCACACCCGTCACTAACGAGTTGAATGTATTCATTCAGGTTTTTTTTTTTTTTTTGACGCATTAGTTTTAATACGCGTAATCTAGCTAAACTACATATAGTATAAAAATTAAAAATAAAAAACACGTGACGCGCATTTGAACCAAAACGCTTAACGTTTAAAAGTAACTTTAAAAAAGAGGGAATTGTCCTCGATTGTCCCTTTATTATTATTATTATTATTATTATTATTATTATTATTATTATTATTATTATTATACACGTGGTAGTTTTATTTCGGTCTGGCGCTTGAATTAGGTAAATAAACGTCTGAAGTCAGTTAGCGCTTTCCGTGGCTGAATTGATATTTTTACTTCAGAAAAAAAGAAATAAATAAGAAAGAGAAGCTCAGTAAGAGCGATAACTTATTTGTGTTATTGAGTTATATCAGTACAGGCCGATTTTTTTGTTGCTTTTTGTTCGTGACGGAACGCCGACAGGCTCCCGCATGTTGGGTTGGGGATGCGGAAAGCGGAGCCGCGTTGTGGTAAATATCTGCAGGCTCACCGAAAGCCATCAGCACAAATAGGACGTGGCACTTTCCACGGACTAATTCTTTCCTGAAGACGGCAGCATTTGCTCTGGGTCAGCTGCTTGAACTCCAGCAAAGTTGGCTTTTTTTTTTCTCTCGTCTCTTTTCTTTTCTTTTTGAATTTTTGTCACAGCGCTTGATTCTGACAAAGTTTGACAACTTCTCGACCTTAACACGCAAAAAAAAAAAAGAAGAAGAAGAAGAAAATAAAGCATGTAATTAAGGGACGGAGACTCCGCGCAGGGCCCGGTTTCACGGTGGATCTGCGCAGAGATTTTTAATCCTCACTTTGCTCACCGCTTTTCTCTTGAAATGATAAAATATGTACCTAAAATTACTCGACTACTAAACTAAAGTAAGCTACTGAAATAAATGAAAGGTTTAACTGACAAATTGTTTAATATATTTATGAGTTTGTGTGGCATAAAAATGTCACTCACCTCCCACATTTAGATTTTTTTTTAAATAATAATTTGAAGCGTAATGTTGAAATAAACGACAATATAGAGTCGGTTTATGTTTTTGCTGAGACAATATGCTTCCCTTTAAATAAAACCAGATTGATGATTTCTAAATTCTGATGTTTGTCCACTCAATTTCACAAACCTGATTTAAAGAAAGAAACAAATTTCACCTCCTTGTTTTATATTTAAAGAAAATGTTTTTATTTAGTTATTTTTTTAAATGAATAAAAAGAGAAGATGGTTTATTTTATCGGTGGTTTGAACTGGATTTTTTTCACCTGACTGTAGTTTCACACATATATAAATAAACCGTTATGTCATTTTTTATTTTTCTGGAAGTCACAGGAAGTGGCAGCAGGTTGATGTGATGACTAATAAGTCACATAACATTTAGTGTTGAAGTGTTTCTCTGTAGTCAGGAGGAATGTTCAGAAATACTGACACAAAGAAAAATGACAGCCAGCTTTATTAGCTGTACCTGCTACATGATTTATTTATTTTTTTCTGTTGCACTGGACACCTTTTGTTTTCTTTTAACTTCAGGGTTGCTCTGTTCATTCAGTTTTCTTTTCGTTTGTATGTTTTTAGGGAACTACAAGAACCACAAGTTGACGCACAGCGGGGAGAAGCAGTACAAGTGCTCCATCTGCAACAAGGCCTTCCATCAGATCTACAACTTGACGTTTCACATGCACACGCACAACGACAAGAAGCCGTTCACCTGCGCCACCTGCGGCAAAGGCTTCTGCCGCAACTTTGACTTGAAGAAGCACATCAGGAAGCTCCATGAGAGCGGCTTTTCTGCCGTCTCGGAGGCCCTGAGAGAGCCGCAGAGCTGAGATCTGCTGAGAGGACAGGGCTGGCTGATGGTGGGCTCTCTGGGGTCACAATGACTGGTGTTCTTGGAAAAAAATGTAAAAAAAAATCCAGGCCTGAGGTGAGAAAGCCCCCTGAGACTGGACTCAAATAGGTGTGGCGAGTCTTAGGGGCCCCGTGCACTAACACAGAGGGGACGAATGAGCCGACCAGACCCAAGAAGAGCGAGCTAATAGGAACATTGTAGGGATTTCTTTTCTTTGTCATCTAGCATTCTTCCTCCTATATGTGGAACACAGGGCCGAAGCACCCGACCGATGTACAGAACAGGTCAAAAAGTTGCTATTTAAATATGAGTTGCCATGTTATGTATTTTACTGGAAAGTGTTAATGTGAATAAATAACTTATAACTTATAATGAAAGCTCACCGTCTCAGCCATGTTATTTCAATTCCATCCATCCATCCATCCATTTTCTGAACACCCTTGTCCCTCAGTGGGGTCGGGAGGGGTGCTGGTGCCTATCTCCAGCTAACGTTCCGGGCGAGAGGCGGGGGACATCCTGGACAGGGCGCCAGTCTGTCGCAGGTTATTTCAATTCATATATATAAATATATGTATATGTAAAAGATATCACCTGAAGGTTTGACATATTTCAGGTGGCAGAAAATGTTCAGCATTCACAACAAGAAGTCATTCTGATAACATGCACTAAAGCAAACAACAACCAGTTCACATACAAACACCCAGATTTATGACGTACAAACACTTTCACTTTTACACATTTGCTTATTCTCGCCTGTCTGTCTTATCGTTCCAGTTTTAGTGTGGCAGCAGGATGAATACTGCTGGGCTTACAGGCCCGCCAGGTGAGGGCTGCTTCCTAAACGTAATCTGTGCAGGTGAGCCGTTTCCACGTGCACGGGGAGAAAGCGACAGACCAGCATGCTCTGCGTCCACTTTACTTCAACATTTATTGACAGACACGATTTTAATAAAGCCACAATTACACTTGACTCGGGGAATAATGGCGCAAATGATGGGAGATAACACAGCCCTTGAAAGCAAATTACATTAAGCAGCTAAACGGCCCCGGGGGTCCGACAGCATTGGGGGTGGGGGGAGGAGGGAGCGTGCGCGTCTCATCCGGAGCCACTCATCAGAACTGGAGATAATGGAGCACTCAGGCCGCAGCTCGTCATCTGGGCCCCCGTGTTAATAAAGTCTGGGTCATTCTGCGCACGTCTCCTGGAACAATATTATCCCGGCGCACATTCTGCGGAGAGTCGCAACGTGCTCCCAAATGGCTCCGTTTCTATTAACAGCTAATTAACGCGCTCGGCCGGCCCTGGAATAACCTGGCAAGGCCAATATTGGCAGATGACGCCCTGCTCACCTTCACCCCGTCAGCGCCCCTCTGCAAACGCACGAAGTTCGCAGAGAGATGTCTTGGAGTTTTTAACTTCCAGAGACAGATTGCGCGCAGCGCTGGTGGCGTAGAGGCTGGTTTTATAGACCAAGTTAGAGAAGATATCTGTTGTGATCACAGAAAAGTTCGACTTTTGGACTCGGAGGGACGAGGATCCGAAGTGACACTCTGTCTTCTTTTCTTGGATCATCTCTCTGTGTCAGACTGTAGCATCAGCGGTTTTCTCTGTAGAAAATGGGATGTGGAATGGTGCAGGATTCTCTTTATAAAGCTTACGAAGCAAATAATTTTGATCAAAATAGGGGGAAACTGAGTATTTAAAATGAGTATTTAAAACAAGAACAAAAAAAAAACCTGCCCTTGAGGTATGAGCCTGTCGACATTAGTCTTTTTGATTCCCCAAAAAACATCTTGTCTTCTGAGAACATAGAAAGGATTGTTTTAAAAAAAAAATCTCTCAAGAAAGATATTCACGCAGCCATGACGGCTTGAATCCACAAGAAATCTGGTCATGAAAATGGAAAGAAAAAAAGGGAAAAGGCCAAAGAGAAAATGCAGACGTGAATCACCAGACTGCTCTAGAGCAGAAGGTGATGTTGGAACTTTAACTTTAACCCAGGTCCGGCGGAGTGTTGAGCAAATAACTGCACTTCCACGGACCAGAGGAGACGAAAGCCAAACTATGTGAAGCTGATGTCCGAGCTTTCAACACATCTCTCGTTGAATGGACGGTGTTGCTAATGAAGTCAGTTTCCGGGATGAGTGTGAATTTTGTCTCAGAGATAAATCGTGTTCACGTAGCGTGGATCTCAACCACTAACACGATAGAAAACGGCCCTTTAAATGCTACAAAAATGATTTGTCAATGATACAGTTTAAACAAGAGTTCTTCTTGATGTGTAGGTCCATGTGTCAAATGATGCAAGCCGTTAAAAACTTAGGGGACCGTAGGAAGAATTTTTTTGTTTTCATTCTCTCTGTACTTTACAAAGAAGGCTGTGGATCAACTGGAAGATTTCTATGGCAATCAAAAGATTACGAGTTTCAGCATGTGTCTTTCTCCGACACATGCTGAAGTGTCCTATTTTTAAACTGTAAAATTACATATGAGAGGCGGTTCTGTGAAACATGAAACCCAGTCGTTTCGTGTCACGCGACATTTGACTGTTATTACTGCAAAACAAATGACGATTTCAAACATATATGACAGCTGAGATTGAGAGATTTTACACCCCGATTGGTAAATGTTCAATGTTCTAACAAATGAAAATCATATAATTGGATGGACACAGTTTTTTTTTTTTTTTAAGGAATCTGTCTCATTATTCTTATTTGGTTAGATTTCGTGGTCAGTCCAAAATGTCTCACTGGTGAAATAAATGTTCCCCGTGTCTTCTCTCTGTCGATTATTACACTGAAAACTTGGATTTGTGATGAGTGTTTGCATTCCTGTATTCTTGCCATCAAACTGCTCAGGTTAAACTGTCCTGAATGAATCCCGGGGAACAACACGCTCCGTTTGCGGACGTTGTGCGGGAACGCGCATCTTGTTCCTGGTTTATTTGCATATTCCCTCACAAAAAGCAAAATTCGCTGATTAGCCCGTTTCCTATTTCATTCAAATAAAAACATCGACTTGTGAGCAGTGAGCGACGTGCGCGCTCGAACACGCGCACGTCGCTCACAGAGCAACCGCCGACCGACCTGCGCCCGCAGGCCGCGGGACATGAACATCAGTAAACAACCTTAAACGGGCAAGTTGGCCTTTTCTTCGCACTCTTTCTCTGGATTTCCCTCACATCTGAGCGGCGGCCTCAACATCCACAAACACGAGAGTGGGAGCTTTACTTAGGGCGCGCGCCCACACGGCGGAGATTATGGGTCGCGGGAGCGCGCGCTAATCAGATGTCAGCAACACGAGGACGTCTTCATATGCCCCCCTGCCCCCCTACTCCGACGGGGGTCCGCCGAAGGGGGATTTAGACAATTTGCGGGCCACAAAGGAGCTCGTTTGGGACAGGAAGAGAAGAAAAGCGCGAGGCGGACTCTTTGTCTGTCTCAGTGAATTGATTTTAAAATGGGAGATTAACGGGAAGCTTCGTCTGCGGCCCGCAAGAGCCTCACTGAGGTGAAAAGAGAGAAAAGGACCAATTAATTCGACCAAATGTTAACTTACATGAGCTTCCCCTCTGTTTAGCCCGCATGAAATTCCAATTAAAACGTCCCCGCGGTAGCGGCGAGGACTTTTTCTTCTTAAGAGGATGAAGAGGGGACAGTTTGTGTCAGCGCAGCCAGTAGGTAAAGTTCCCACAACATCTGCAAAATGGCAGAGAGCAGTGGCATGCACAGATATTTTGGGGGGCAGGTGCTCAAGTGTGAAAAGTGGCACCTTTTGCGGTACATGGAACAGTAAGCTACCTTGGTCTTTGAGATTTATTACATGGAAAACTGCAACACCATCAACTTGGCAATCAAATTTGCAACAACAGAGAAAACATAGCAATGCAACAGCATAGGATATGGCTAAGAGAAAAATCATTTATACTCAGAAGGGGGCACAGTACCTGAAACTTGTACTCAAGTAACCATAGTGATACGTCAACTTAGTTTTACTCAAGTAAAAGTAAAGAGTAGCCATCCAAAAAAAAAAAAAAAAAAAATAACTCAAAAA